CCCCAAAACCCCAAAACCCCAAAACCCCAAAACCCCTATCTTGAAAATTTTGACTGAAAATGTCTAAATAACTTAGAATTTTAATTTTTCACTATGAGTGATTATTTAGCCCTCTTGCGCTTAGCCTTAGGCTGCTTTTTTGATTTAGGAGAGCGCTTCTTTCTCTTCCTGCCCCTTGGCTTTGGTGTAGCTGCTGTATTCTTGAAGTTCTCTTCAGCACTGGTGTATACCATTGATTTAGTAGGAGTAACTCCCTTAGTTGCTTTACCCGCATCATCTTCTATCCTTGAAGTCTGACTTGCAGATTTTGGCTGATCTTTGATCTCTTCTTTAGTGACCTTTTTAGGAATATCTTTAATGATCTCTTTAGGGATCGCTTCAGTGATCGCTTCAGTGATCTCTTCAGTGATCTTTTCAGGGATTTGTTCAGTAGTCTTTTTAATCAAATCTTCAGTTAAATTGTTAATTGGAGTTAGACTAGTTTTGTCATTCTGAACTGTCGTTGGAAAGAAGTTATCTATCTTTGAGTCTCCTCTCTTAATATTAGGATTTGGTTTATCCTTCGGCTTCTCAAGTCTCTCTTTTAAATTCTGACAAACACATTTCAACTTATTAGTAACTGTCTTACAGAAATCTTTCATGTACTCTTTGACATTTTTTTCTACCTTAGTTTCTAAGGTTTCAATATCTTTTGTCACTATTTTGACTATACCACCTGAGAACATGTCAATAATTGGACCAAGAGGTGGATTTTCCTTCTCCCTCTTATCTAATGCTACATATCTTAGGTTAGACTATGAAATCCCTAAAACCCTAGTTTTCTTACCTTGGAGTACTCCTTCTACTATTTTGGGCACTATTTCTTCCTCTCTTTGGTTTGCCACCTGCTCTTCTCAATTTCTGGGAAAGCTTGGGGTTCTTTCTCGTGGCTCTCAGCCATCTCTCCCTTCTAGTAAGCTTCTCATACTAGGCTCAGTGATGTAAGTTTCGATACTAAAGGCTGGCTCGCGACAAAAGCTTAACCCTTCTATTGTTTTAGGAACATGGTTGTACATCTTTAATAAATCCAATCTAATTCTTACTTAAGGGGTTTTGGGGTTTTGGGGTTTTGGGGTTTTGGGGTTTTGGGGTTTTGGGGTTTTGGGG